CGCCTCGTGGCTCGTGAGCGAATTGAGAGGGTGATGGGAGACCTGCTGCCGTCCGGGAGGTGGAGCTCGCCCCAGATGGGGCGGCGCTTCCCTCGCCGGCGGAGATTGCTTCCCCTCCATGACGCAGCTTTTAGTTGCTTATTTGGTTCTAAATGGCGGCGGCGCCGCCCCTGATGGGTATATACAACATCCATATTTCATATCGAGCATATAAAGTAGAGTACAATAAAAATGTTTAATAGGAGGGTGATAGATAGTTGGTTCCTCTTCTTTGAGGAGCTGAATTCAGAATATGTATTCTGGAACAGTGAAATACGGCGCTGATCTGCACCGAATGCAGAGGGTTCCCCACGAGGGATCTCTGCAGCGGAGCGTCTCGCCAGCGGGGAGGTGTCTTAGACATTCATATTTTATATATCCGGGACGAGCTATGTATTGTTTGCTATTTGTTGTGGTTATACTGTAACCTCGCACTAGGCAGATTTGTTAGCAGGAGAAGTGACTAACATTGATCAGGGATATTACTTACTTAAGAGACCAATTTCTCGTGTTAAACTTCGTTTTATTCATGCTGTTGTATAAAATTAAAAATGTTATTGATTCGTGTTTAATGTGGAGGTTTAAATCCAGTGAAAATAGATAATTTTGAAAGAGTTCTGTGGGAACACCACATTGCAAGATCTTTGATTTATGTATGTATTTCTTATTTCCGGATGCGTCAAGCAATTTTTCTCAGTGCAGAGATTCAATAGTCTAATGTAAGTTAAGTGGATGTAGCGGTTTCCCTGGCCAGAACGTGCAGTCGTGTCTGACCTACAATCGCATCGGAAATGTCGTCGCCGGAGCGAGAAAGAGAGAGGAGAAGAGAGGCGAGAGGAGAGAGAGAGAGAGGAGAGCGAAAGACCAGCACAATGCTCTAAAATCGTACACGCTGTCTAAGAGATCGTCAATTGTTCTTATCGCAACGAATTTATACGAATAATTCCATATACCCCGTGCGGAACTGTCACACGAGAGAAAACTAATGATGTCCCGCTTACTGCAATATTAATTTTCAAGCGCGAACGTTGGATTTAAAAGTCGTCAGCTATAAATAATGCCAAAACTTTAAAAATGTGCCAAATTTTTTTGCACTTTACTTCGAGAATTGTAATTTTGGCCGGAACGGGATTTTTGTAGAGAAGACTGTTTGTGGCTGGCCAGGAACGAAAATCGATTAACCCTGTCATCATCCCTAATTATCTTACGATGTGTATTTTATTTCGATGCTTCTGATTCCGCCAGATTACAATAAGTGAAAACTTCGCCTATTGTGTGGAAGCGAAATAAATGGAAATAGACGGTGCCTCGACCGGAAGTCTAGTTGTGTGCAAGCATGCAGGATGTGACATCGCAGAAACTAGGAGAAGATCTGTAGCGGTGTCTACAGGGCCATGCCGAATGTTGGACGTACCTAAAAGATAAAGAAACCGAACCGCGGGATCTTTTCCTTTTCTCCCTTATGAATCTTACAGCTTACTACCACTAACATGGCATATACCAACACACATGCCCGGAAGTAAGAGCTTTACCCCGCTGGTGCGATGTCCCCTGGTGGGGAGTTACTGCTTAGGAAAACCCGAAGAAGACAGTATGTGGACAGTCTCACATCCAGCGGGGGAAACCTATTGCCACGCGGGCCATGCTAACTTAGAGATAAATGAATATTTGTAGTTGAATAACTCCGATGTTTTGTCGAGTCTCCAGATTCAAAATGAATAGTGGCGCGGAAAGGGAGTCGATTTTTGCTGTTGGAGGCGCGTGCAGGCTTTCCGCGCCCATTGAGGCTGGGCAAGTTGACTTGAGGGACTCCCCTCTCTCGCCCACCCCGGGCCGGCCGACTTCTGCCTTCGCCCCTTTGCCAAATTTCGCTTCCCGACGCTTCCAGTCATTCGATTCGGACGGCTGACAATGCGTTGGCTGCAGGAATGGTACAGCCATCGCGGTATAAGTCCACTTTCTAATTTCCCCACGGAAATGGGGAAAAAACTTGTAAAATGAGTTCTAGTTTTTGCATTATTTTTTGAGGGCTTCACAGCGAAAATTGCACATTGAAAAAGAGTCAAATGACGTTTACATACCTCAAATAGAATTATTTTTTCACATGGTAATGGTTCCGTAAATTCCCTACCATTGGCTACGAACTACTGAATTTCCGCTCTCAAATTTGTTGGGACATTCAGCCTTAAAAAGTAGCGCAGATTTCGTTACCGTTGAATTATCTGAATTTTCGAAAATTTCAAAAGTTATAAAAATGAGGAAAAAAAGTGTCTGCTGTTGTAACACCAACAGATTATATTTAATAATACGACCGTCATAACGCAAGAAACTAATCTGAATTAGTTTAAAAATGAAGTAATATTCCTTTTAATATTGGTCTGTTTAGCTTAATGTTATTTTATGCTATAATTAATTTTGTTTATTTAGAAAAGCCCGCTCTTCTACCGAATGAGACCACAAAGCTGTGGCACAAGTGCACGCGCAAAGCATACAATAAGTCACAAATACTCAGAGATGTGCTGAGGAGGGTATAATTTAATTTTAAAAATGCGCTTTGTCGAGAGAAAGTGACTGCTGGGCCCACGGCCGACTGCCTTCTGGCCGTCGACGTCTGGTAACCTTCAGGAGCCGCAGCGCTGAATGCTGCCTCTTCCCTCGCGTCCCTTCCGTGCGCCGCAGGGAGTATGCGAGGGCGCTGTACCTCCGCTGCAGAGGACGACGGAGCCCTTCACACTGCATGGTGCTACAACAGCACGTGCTTTCTCGGGCGGAATTTTCACGCAAAGTGGTATTCAAAGTTTCAAAAAATTGTTCATAACCTAATTTAAAAATCTATCTTAAGGAAACAGATTTCACAAGAAGAAAAATATCTAACTACATGATTGTAGTTGTACGAAAACGCCGAAAAAGTTTAGAATTTCTGCAATTTTCGAAAAAATTGGGTCTTTCAACGATCATGAGACCTTCATCACTCTCTTAAAAGTCTTACACACAAACAATCTACATCATTTATTAAAAAACGATGGAATCATTTTCTTGAAAGTTTGTAAATGTCAACGACTTTATGTAGTCCCACAAAAATTAAAATATCAAAATCAAATTCAAGGGATCCACAGATCGATTGGGGAATATCAGTTTTGGAAACAAAGGACTGAGCGTTTCAACTGCTAGCGTTGTTCACAGATGGACGGACGGACAGACTGACTAAAATGTCCTCATTCGATTTTTTCGAACGAAGGAACAAAAGCTTGGATTCTGGCCACACGACGTGTTAAAGATTTTTTTTCTTCAAAATTTAGCAACTGCATTTATTCCCTTTTCCGTTACCAGGGCTATGTAAAAAAGAGTTCTTCTGCTGAAAAATCGCCGATTTCTCGCCCAACATTCCATAGGTTTCCTTCTACTCCGTAGCGAGAAAGTAGAAACTGAATAAACAACTATATTAGTTTTTGTAGCTTTTAATTTCCGGCATCATAGAACTTCAATACAACTCCTTCTCAGCTATGTATTTTGGTAGACCGAAAAGACCAGATGTAACGTTAGAGAGACTGATCGTATACAGCATACATGCCCAACTGGAGAGTATTTTTATTACGTAAACGTAACAGTGTAAGCTTGATTGTAATTCGAGACAAACGCCAGAAAATGCTTGCAATAACGCTCCGAGCACACCAATTTCAGGATTGTCCCTTGAGGTAATTCGGCTGCGAAACAAACTTGTAAGCAGTCAAGATCTTTATTAAAATCTGAAAATGAGATCATTGACCCAAGGATGCACAGCCCCGGAAAACTATATGAATGCATTTGCAGGACCTCCGAGACCCTGCGCATTCGCTCTCGAAAAATGCACAAACACATTTTTATTCTTAATAACTTCGGTTTTCAATAATTTCTATTTAAGTCACCTCTTCATGTTAAACAAATGATTAATAAAATAACTATTAATAGGGCGTTAAATAAGTATGGTAAGAGCCTTAAAATTCTTAATAAGCATGTAATAGAACGTAATAGAATCAAATTTCGGAACCTACCTACATTATTTCTGTACTTTTTCTTCGGCAGTGACAAAACTGAAAGAAGGTTGAAGAGAGGTTACATAGCGGCAAAGCTCTCAGCGGCTGTGCAGAGAAAAAAGGGAAGTAAAAAGACATTTGGGCCTGGGAGGCCCTGCATCCTAGGGTTAAAAAGACAAATTAGTGTTACATTGACACTAATACTGAAATATACATTTTAGAAACCTTAGTAGTATGAATAAATGTAGTTCCCAAAAGATAGATAAATAATTAGGAGTATCTGCATCAAAATGCGCAGTAGAATGGGAGGTGCCTAAAAGTAGGATACGTATTACAATAAAAATGAATAAATTTCAACGAGAGTTAGTATATATTAAGTGCAGGGTTTTCCTCTTCCAAACACGGCGCTCACCGCTCCCTGCGAGGTCAGCGTCCGCCCCTTTCCCACGCTTCCCCCACCTGCGACCGGAGGGCGCTGCCGTCGCGCGCTGCACGCGCCGACAAGTGAGCAGCGAGATTAACCCGGCAAGGCTAGCGACTACCTCACCATGACGCCGCGGCACCATGATGACGCCAGCGGCGCTCCGCTGGCGAGTGCCATGTTAGTTTCATTTGTCCTTGCAAAGTTAATAAAAATTAATTTTAAACAAATCTCAACAGCCCGGTTTGTTCGTATTCAGGGATTGAAAGTTACATGAAAATGTAGTGATGAAAATATTTCTTTGACATTTTTTCAATACAAAAGCAGTTGAATTGTAAATTTAATGAATCAAGTCGTAACAATTCATGTAAATGCTGGAAACATAATGCAGACAATGCTAACACCTCTTCGTTGTAATCATAGGAACACTGAATGCATCGAAAAAGTTGTTTTCCTACAATTCTTCCAGAATAACTCGGAGAGAATCGGCAAAATTTCTCACAATCGATTAGTGTGGTAGAGAAGAGTCGAACAAGCTATTAATCACATTTGTAGATGTCCAAAGACGTCCAAAACGCGTTTTAGTTACTTGAAAGTATCCAAATCATGTTTTATAAAAATGTCTTCTCTGAATACGAAAGAAAACGATCAGTTGCCCTTTAACAGATCGAACGCGTGGAATGACTCGATTGGAGGACCGGGTGTCGCCCAACAGTGTGACGTAGTTACGCGATTACTTTTTACATAAGGATTAGAAAAATTCCTCACTGGCACGTAATTTTATAGGATGCGCCCCTCTTGAGGTGAACAGAAATTACACCTCCCAGTAGTTCAACGATATTATGTGCGTAATCTCGGCGGTACTTTGTTTTTTAACAGTATGCGAATGCCTTGTGGTACGTACATAATACGACATACATAATAATAATGTAAAATATGATATATTTACCTAGAAAGAAATAATTTAAAGTCAAAGAAAAAATAATAATTGCAGGCATTATTGGAAAGGGAAATGGAAATCCGGAAACATTCACTAAGAAAGTAACATAATAGTGGTGGATTAAAGAAAAATGCACGCCAGTATGTTTTTGTCACATTCAAGTTGGAATGTTGTAATAGCATTGGTAACTCGAGTGGATCAATCATAAGCTTTACATTCTGATGACAGGCACACAGTATGTATTTCTTTTCACCAGCTAAAATGCAACTTTTTGGACAAAGAAACGCAAACTTGACAATTTTCAGATCAGGCCGTGAAGATATAAAATATGTATAAATTTCATTTAATTTTACAACAATGAGTCACTTCTGTTCTTGATTTTTCCGAAATTCTCAGAACATTGTTTTTTGACAGATATTTTGTTTTTTGGAGTAAACTTTACACGTAACTTTAACCACATTTTTGTTCTACTACTAAATTACCTAACCAATTATTCTACTAACATTACCTAACCAATAATATTTGTTTAATTTTTGATAGCCTTTTCGAATAAATTCTGTCCTGATTTTACGTTTACTTTGAACAATGTACCCTGATCCTTTTTGACATTGCGTACCATGTATTGCAAGAAAGGAGAATATTTTTTTATACATGCAGTAGCTAGTCGAAAAAAAAGGGAACAAATAGTATTTTTCCCTATTATTTCAGGTTTGAAATTTGTCTTTCAGCAGATTTTATATTTCTCTGTGTCAATTTATCAACGAACCAGATTGGTGACCTTAGAAAAATGAAAACTTTCTCCTTTAAAAACTTTTCCAATTTTATTAAATACCTTCTCCTTATAATGACTTCCTTTAAACCGTTTTAGTCCTATAGATGTATATTTCAAGACTACTGTTAAATTTTCATCGATTTCGATTTCGTCAACAAAAGCTTCATTTTCCGCATCTTGTGGAGAATCTTTTAATGCAACACACGAATCAATCTAATTTCATTTCCTTCCTGCATCCATCGCATTTTTGTTTGTTGAGATGACGATATTTCTCATACATACTGACCATCCAAGAAAGGTTTTTTATGGTACGAAGGATTTTACGATAAAAATGCTCAACCTTATTAAATGGATAACGGAAAACTGATCGTTTATGTCGCATAGTCGCACACACTGGAAGGGTTTCCTGAGTGTAGATACACGAAAGACAGCTGCACCTTTAAAGGATTCAGAAGGCGCCAACACAGTTTGTTATGTCCCCTGAGATCAAAACATCAACATCTGCGCCCCGGAACTAGGAGGCCGGGGAACAGAGCTTCCGTTCATGGCCACCAGCCAGCGCCTTCGCGAGCGCTGGGGGAAAATGTCGAGTCAATACGTCTTGCTGCGTTGCCATCCCAAATTCCATTGTTCTCTAATAAGGTAATACATATTAGGCATTAACATCTATTTTTTAATTAAAAATACATTTGCAAAAACCTAAACCTTTTCAAAATAGTTCCTCAGAACATTAGTTAACACGGAAATTAAATCAATTATTAATTCTTCTGTCTTTATGTAGGACAACATATCATGTATCCAATGAGATAAACATTTGTGCTGTTATATTTGATAGATGAAAATATTGCGATTCTAATGAGTGTTTGTGCACCGAATTCTATACATGTCTTCGATATTTCAAGACTTGTAAAATACAAACCAACAAATTTACCACCGAGTAAGTTACAAAGATATTTTTGGTATGATACAGATGATGTGCACTTAAGTTGCATTAAAATCAGAGGGGGTGTGCGTTGAAAATATCTATTCTACGACGACATGATGTGGAATGACTCAACCCTGGTATTGCGAGGTTTATACAACTACTCTTTTAAGGAAGATTTTAAGTCATGTTACACATTTTCAAAAGAATGTTTGAAAAATATAAAAATAAATTTCAGTGACTTGAGGCAGAAATTACACGAAAATAACTTTTTTCAAAAAAAACTTGTACATGATCTTATTTAAATATCTAATGTATTTATGTTTTTAATGTGTTATGTGAAGAAATATTAATGTTTTGCAATTTTCGAAAACAGAGTTCGATTTTGCAATGCGCGCCGGTTGCAAAGGGACCAGAATTATGTTTTACAGCCTTTTGGCACATATAAAGAAACATTTGGAGTGAGAAATTTAGTAATCAAAAAATTCTTACATTCGCGCAATATGAAAGGTACTCAAAATTTCGAAAAACTGTACTTGATCATTTATCAAGATCGTCTTTAAACATTTAAAATATTTCTCTTATCAATATTGTAGTTGTAAGTCGCCGTCAAAATGTTGAACTTTTGCAATTTTTGAAAAAACAGTAATTTCAATGAAAATGATGCTGTT